TGAGGGGGACCCATACATGGTCTCGGAGAGACGCCTTGAAGTCTTGAGTATCACCTGCTGCAAGGACACGGGGCAGAGAGGGGAGACCACCCGGAACCCTTGTGCTGCCGCTCACCCGGCTGCGTAACCTTGGCTGAAACACCCACCGTCTCCCAGGTCCTGCCTTGTGGCGCCCGTCCCGTGGGTTCATGCAAATCGCCCGAGGGTGACTACGAGGCTTCAGTAGTTCCCTCATATAAATGACATCCCCTCTGTGAAATTAGCCACAAGTGCCCGCACTTAGTAGGTGCTCAGAAAAGCTAGTCATGGTCCTCTATTGAGCCGTACAGTCTCAGGAGAGTGGTCTGCACGTGGGATGTGCGAGGTCCTGAGGATGAAAGAGAAGATGCTTGTGGGTACAAGGAAAACTCAGACACCCCTGGGTAAGCCGCGTGACTCGGTGATTGGTGCTCCTTCCCGGCCCCGCCCCTGCTCTCAGATAAGGAAAGTGAAGTCGCTCGGTCCCGTCCGACTCTTTGCGGCCCCATGGACTGTAGGCCACCAGGCTCCTCCGTCCATGGGATTTTCCAGGCAGGAGTACTGGAGTGGGTTGCCATGCCCTTCTCCAGGGAATCTTCCTGACCCAGGGATCAAACCCGGGTCTCCCTCACTGTAGGCAGACGCTTTACCACCTTGAGCCAGCAAGGTACCTGCAATTCTCACCCGCTCAAGGGTCAGGGCTAAGTGAGTACATGTTATAGGTAAGGCACAGGGTCAGCACCAGACTAGCCAGGAAGCCTGACTAGCCTGACAGCATGGAAGTTAGCATGCAGGGTCGGCTGGAGCCAAGACCCCTCCTGTCTCCAGTTAGGAGCAGACCCAGGGCCTGCTCTCTAGTCATGATGCTTCAGCTTGTCATTGCGGTCTCTCTTGTTGTGGAGCACACCCCCTGGGGCATGTGGGCTTAGTAGTTTCAGCTCCCAGGTTCCAGAGCACAGGCTCAATAGTTGTGGCATGTGGGATCTTCCTGGATCGGGGATCGAACCCACATCTCCTGCATTGCCAGGTGGATTCTTTAGCCCTGAGCCACCTGGGAAGCCCTTCCTTGCTGTCTTGAGTCAACCAAACGCAGGAGGCTGGTGAGGTGGGGGAAGGAAGAGGCGGGGCTGGGTGACTTTAAGGCATGCTCAGATTCAGTTGGGGGCAGAATGATCGCAGTGCTTCCGACCTGGGAGGAAAGGCTCTCCTGAGGACAGGGCAGTTGCACGGCGTCCAGCCACAGGACCATCAGAGCACTTCCAAGGCCTGCTGCCCGCCCAGCCCCCAGCCCCTCTGCCACCAAAGCCCAGCCCAGCTTCCGACACCCACAGTCGTGTCGCCTCCTTGCAGAAGCACCTTTCCTTTCCACTGAGCCAAGACGCCCTGATCGGCTGGCCCTTGGAAATGACCTTTGGATTCAAAGCCGGCCAAAGCAGGGTGAGCTGGGGGAGTTGCCGTGGGAAAGTGGGGGCCCCACGAACCAGAGGGTGGACGCCAGCTCCACACTCAAGGCGAGACGTGCCCCCCCTTTTCTGCACACTTCAAGGCACCCGTCTTTCTCTGGGTACAATGCAGTGAATGAGGCCGGGACTCTGGGCCGGGCGGCACATTCAGGCTTTGTGCCGGCCACAATGAGGGGCTTTCCGTGGGCCACGGGCCTCACAGCATGGGGCTTCACGTGGCCAGAGAGACTGTTGGGGAAGAAGCAGGGAGTTCCTGGGACTTTCTCAGAAAACAGTTAAACACAGCCTGTGCCCTTAGAGGAGGCCAGCCTGGCTGGAGCCCCTGGCAGCTTCCCAGAAGAGCCTGTGTCCTGGGCATGGCCTGGGTGGCTGGTGAGCCCCCCAGAGGCTGGGCAGGGCCTGCATGGGGCTAGAGCCTGGACTGTGTGGGGTGAGAGAACTGAACTGTGAAAGGAGGGTTAGAATAAAGTCCTCCTAATTCCCTTTCAACTGAAAAACATGCTGCTCAGGACTGGCTACATTTTATGCAGATTCTAGCTCAAAAGGAAAATGTAGGATGCCTTGTTGGGGCTTCCCAGGTAGCAATAGCAGTAAAGAACCCACCTACCAATGCAGGAGACATAAGAGATGCAAGTTCAATCCCTGGGTCAGGAAGATCCCCTGGAGGCGGGCATGGCTACCCACTCCAGTCTTCTTGCCTGGAGAATCTCCTGGACAGAGGAGCCTGGTGGGCTACAGTCCTACAGTCCATGGAGTCTCAAAGAGTTGGACCTGATGGACGTGACTTAGCATGCACCCACGCAGGGTGCCTTGTTATCTATCTCTCTATCTGTCAAGGAACTGGCTTATTAGTTATGGAGACTAAGAAGTCTCGTGACCTACTCTCTGAAGTTGGATACCAACCCAGGGAACCCGGTGGTGCAAATCCAGTCCAAGGGCAGGAGGAGACCCAGAGCCCAGCTCAAGGGGTCAGACAGAGCAGACTGTCCCTTCTTCTGCCTTTTTGTTCTATTCCAGCCTCAGTGGATTGGGTGATGCCCACCCACATTGGAGAGGGCAATCTTAGTCCATGGATTCAAATGTCAGTATCTTCCAGAAACATCCTCCCAGACATACCCAGAATAATGTTTAACTAGATAGCAGGCTATCTGCAGTCCAGCCAGGTCAGTACAGAAAATCCACCACCTCGAGGCCCTTCTGGCCATGGGGTCCTGTGTGTGTCTGCTCGGGTCTCCTGTGTGAGGTTGGCCCGGCCCCTGGTGCCAGTCACCGCCACTCCTCTGGGCCTGTATGAGGCCCTGCACCGGCTGCCATAAGGACACACACATCCCGCCGGCGCTGGAAGGCCTTACACAAACGCCTTGCACACCTGAGCTTCATCTTCCTTCTCACCTGCAAGATGGGGCTCCTGACAGTACTCCATCAGTCGTGGGGGTTACATGCACAAGTGGTGGGACCTCTGAGCCTGTTTCCTCACCTTGAGAACATTCTTTGCTGTTAGGACGGTTAAATTAGACGATACCTGTAAAATATCTGTCCCATACTGCCACTCCTGCTTTAATGATCATCGTAAGTAAGAGCATCTCCCCAGGCGCATGGGGAGGAACAGCAAGGGCCCAGGGTCTGTAGCGATTCTGAGTCAGGCAGGGCAGAGGCGTGGTTCCAACGCTTGATCTGAGGCAGGATCAGAGAGTTGCCGAAATTCACGGGGACCGCGCAGCTTGCAGGATCCCAGTCTGTCTCTCTGGCTCCCTAGACTGACCTCCAGCCCTGCACAGAGCTGAGGTGCTAGACAGGAAACTGAGGCAGACATTCAGTTTCGAAACCAGATGGCGGGTGTAGACCCTGGCTAGGGATGCAGATGCCCGAGACTCTCCCGGCCCCACCACGGAGAGCGCTGGATGTTAAGCACGAGGGGCAAAATGGCTTCTGGACCTCTTCCAGCTGACACTGTGTTCATCTGTCCAGCCCTGCTCCCTGTCAGGACTGGCTTAGAGGAATACTTCTCTAATTGTCTTCCATGAGGTGTAAATACATGTTTCTTGGAAAAAGGAGGAGGAGGGAGGGAAGAAGGAAGAAGAAGATGGGGGAGGGGAGGGGGAGGAAGAGGGGAAGGAGAGAAGAGCAAGGGGGAGGCGGGAGAGGGGAGGAGGGAGTGAAAGAGGGTGGAGGAGCAAGAGGGGAGGAAGGAGTGGGGGAGGTGGGAGAGGGGGACGGGGGAGGAGGGAAACAGTAACAACAAAAACAGGGTGATGATTTGGGGAATAACAAGTTAAATTTCAACAAACTTTATACATGGAGACCCACAGCATCATTATTAGACTCCAGAGCTTTGTGAACTGCCGACAGGAAGTCTCAGACCCATCTGCACAGGCACCATTTTCCGGAAAACACTTCGCAGAGCATAGTTAGGCAACTCCAATACCATGGAGCTCTGATGAGGCTGGGACCTTCAGTGGGGACTTCTGGGCTAGCCAGGCAGAGGAGCAGGGGCGGGCGGGGAGCCCCTTCTTAACACCCCTTTGAGAGACCCAGAGTTTTGAAAGCAGGAGAGGAAAAGGCAGCCTGCTAGGAGCCGTGTAGGTCACTGTTCTGGGGAAGACGCTGGCGTGGGCACCACATCTGATGATGCGGGGTTGCAGGTGGTCATTAACCTTCCGCAGAAGCCAGGCTGGCGGGGACATCAAACATGAGAGGCAGTGGGGCATTTCCGGGAGGGCCACGTCTAGTTCCCACGCCAGCCTGACAGCCACCCCGCCCAAGTCCAGGGATGTCTGCCCCGTCAGCTCGCCAGGCTCCTCCCAAGACCTGCCTCTGCTTCTGCAGAAGCAGATGCCTTCTCCTCGCAGGGCAAAGTCCACAGCATCCCACAGCCGTCCTCTCCAGTCCTGGGGCTGGGGGCGGGCATCGTGGACCTTCCCCCTGCCCCAGACCTCTTTGGGAAGGTGCTGTCTTTGAGGAAAGTGGCCAGTCGCTTGGTGGCACTCTTACTGGCCCATCGTCTCTAAGAAGCTCTCTTTCTCCTCCCTTGGAGCCCAGGGCACTGCCTGGTGCTCTACATTCGCGTCAGCACCTGGGGAGACTGAGGAAGCTCTCTGCCCTCGGTGAGCCTCAGAGTCCGAACGCAGAAAACGAAAGAGCCAGAAGCTCTTATCCAGCACATTCATCCTGTGATGAAGCGCTAGATGATATGGAAAAACATTGGCCTGGGCTCTTTTGTTTGGTTCCCAAGGGGAGAACTTGAACCTTGGGAAGAGACAGGCGTCCACTCAGGAGAAAGCAGGTTCAAACACATGGACAAGGAAGCATCTGGACAAAGGATCACACAGGCGAGGCACAAATCCTGGCAAATCCTTATCTGAACCATAGCATTCTCGATTCCCTTGGTTGTCGAGGGCCACTTCCTCAACAAGTGCAAACCTCAGGTTCTTGCCGGTAAAATGCAGACACGATCAATTACCACGCTAATCACCCACTCACCCTTTGAATGGCAGCCCCAAAGGGGTGAAGCTGCTGAGTTCAGAGCTCGTCGTGGTGGAGCGGCCTCTGGACACAGCGAGCTGCCTGGAGGAAGCCTGTGAGCACAGCGAAGGGAAGGGGGTGATGAAGGGGAGGAGGTGATGGGCCCTGCTCAAGGGGGCTTCTGGGCTCCCTCCTGTCGCTCAGGGACCCAGTCCAGCCTGGGACTCTGACCACAGGCTGGCCCCCAGAGTGGAGCTCTTCCTTGGGCTCACACCGGAAGTCAAGCCAGTGCAGGGGAACAGGTGGGCCGGGAGAGGGAGCCGCAGGGGAAAGGTCCATCCAAAAGACAGCAGCGAACGGGGTGAAAGGGAGTGAGTGCTGGTCGAGGGGCCAATGCTTCTGCCTGGGCGATTCCCGACGGGAGCGCGCCCCCTGGTGGCCGGCTCGGGTAATGACCCGGCCCCGCTCTGGTCTGTCTGGGTCTGACTGCCCGGGCGCTCTCCGATACCAAAGCACATGCGCTATTACGCTGGGCGGGGAAAGGTAGAAGCCACCAGAACGAACTGTGGAGGGGAGGAGGTTAATCTGCTGTATTCCGAAGACCCAGACGGACTCCCACCCCGAGGACTTTGGAGTGGACTCTTCCCGGAAATCCACCCTCTGTTCCCAGGACTCCTCACTCCCTCCGTTGCTCACAAGGACATCTGCCGTCTCCCACGCTGGGCTCTGACTTCTGATGTCAAAGACTGAGTCACGCTCAGGCCCAGAGCTGCAGACCTAGTGAATGGCTCTCTCTCCCTGTTGCATGGTAGGCACTGTGACTCCTGACGGCCGGCACGTTGTTTTAACAGACGAGGCCGGCAGTACATGGGCACCCTTAGGGACTGGCAGACTCTTTCTGAACTTTCCCACCACCACCTGCTTCCCATGGTGCTCAAGACTCCGTGCTCCTGCGGGCACCTGCCCCCTTCAGGGCCAGCTTCTGCTCATGGTCCATGCTAACAGGGGAAGTGCCCACCATGACCACCCCGCCCGCCACCACATTTTCCGGTCAGGACAGACACGTGCACTGCTTGCGGCCAGCTCAGGATGCCCCAATGGTCCAGGCAGCTGACCTTGCCAATATCCAGCCAGCTAGCTTCTCTCTTTCAAGAGCCCAGCAGGGACTAAGCAATGTGCTGCCGGTACCAATTTTGAAGAGCCATGTACAGACAGGGAGGCATGCATGAGGCTGGGGAGATGGACTTGGTTATGTTTTCAGCTTGTGATGATTACCTTTGCATCAGTGTGGCTGGGCCATGGTGCCCAGATATGTGGTCAAGCACTCTGAGTGTTTCTGTGAGGGTATTTGGGGGTGTTTTAAATTACATTTAAACTGGTGGAAATTTGAGGGAGCAGATTGCCCTCCCTCGTGTGGGTGGGCCTTGTGTAATCAGTTGAGGGCCAGACTAGACCAAAAGCCTGATCTCCTCCAGGCAAGAGGGAATTCTGCAGCGGACAGCCTTTGGACTTGAATGGCAACAGCAGCTCTTCCTGCATCTCCAGCCTGCCGGCCCACATTGCAGATTTTGGACTTGCCAGTCTCTGTAATTACATGAACCAGTTCTCACAGTTGCATGAGTTAGGAGTAGAGTGGTGACCTAGGGTAGGTCAGGACAGGTTGCTGGGGAATGATGTTAGCACAGGGCCCGGGGTGTCTGCAGTCACTCGGCTTCATAGAGGGGTTTTCTGTAGGAAAATAACTTGCTCCTCATGCAACACAGCAAACCTGATGATAATTCACTGGTGTCAGTGAGAGGACGAGAGGAGGCCAAGAAGCCAATGTGGAAAGTTTTCTGTGTGACCAACACGGTGTGAGACTCGGGTCACAAAAGCTACCTCAGTTCTCTCAGAAACCAGTTCCACGTTATAGTATGAAATTCAGTTGTTTCTTATTTATATTTTTGTCTGCTTCAAGAAGGCATTATTGAATTTATATTTATGAGTAAATTTATAACATATTTACAAGTTATAAATCTGTAACTTGTAAATATCTGTATTTTAATTTTATGACATAAATAAACTGATAGATTCATATTTATAAATAAATTCCAGAAGAAATACAGGAATCTGCAGAGGCTCAAGGAAGATGTTTGCTTTTAGTTTTCTCATATGTGTACACTTTTATTTTTTCTCTTCCTGCAAAACAGATGCCATAGAAAATATGTCTATGCATATTTAGTAGAAAAATAGTCTACTAAAATGTTTAAAATTAAAATCTTCCCAAATAATAAGTTTGCAAATATTCACTATGAACAATTTGGAGTATTTTTAATCTAGACTTTTTTTTAATTAAGAAAAAGCCATTTTGAATGTTACTGAGAATATACAGGAAGTGTCCAACTATATCATGGTTTGATTCTTAATTTTATAAGTATTGGCCAATATCATTACAAACATGTCCTAAATATTATTTCAAATTCTTATTAAAAAGTCCCACTTGATATAAATATTATTTAGGGTATAAATTATATAATCATCTTAGTAAATCATTCTCCATCTTGGTTGATTTCCAATATTATGAAAAAACATCACAAACATTACATTATTTGACTGCTTTCCCCTGCATTTAAGGCTTAAACCAAAGGACAAGGCTCTTTTTCCCACGGAGCTTGGAGGTAGGCAACGTCTGAGTGAGTCCTGTGGTTTCATGGCCCAGGGTCCCTCAGCTGCTTTCTCTGCCTTCCTTTCATCCTTGACATGGGATAAAAACCAGCATCAAGGCCCTGTTTAGTTCTCTAAGGCCAGGCAACTGCAAACTTGATAATGTCACACGAGGAGCTCTGTCGTGCAATTTGGATGTCCGACAGTGCCCTTTAAATGTCACTTCACTGAGATTTCCTTTGTCATTATTTTAATAGTTCCCTTCCTTCCTTGCTCTATAAAAAGTGAACATTAAATCTGACTTCAAACCTTTAAGACAACCAACTTATTAAGCCAATTTGAAAGGCTGATTCAGCAGGGTCTATAAATCTGAGGCTCTGACACCCCTTGATAACTTCATCTTGCCCCAAACCCCTGGGCCTGTGGCTCCAGTGTGTCCTCAACACATGCTGGGCGCTGGGCGCTGGGTGCTGGGCGCTGGGTGCTACTCTAGGCTCTGGGGGCACACAGAGGATCAGTTTCTTTCATCAAAAAACACAGTGGACAGAGAGTCAGAAAAGAATGCTGTTCAGTAAGAGGTAGGGGAAAACTGTCAAAGCAGTACCCCAAACTTCCATGTGGAGAACTCAAAAACTCAGAGCACATTGAATATCAAGTCAATTTTAAAAACGAAATAAGAGGAACAACCAACAGTTACAAAAGGGTCAATGGAGTGGGGGAGGCAATCATGAAGTCTCAGTGAGTGAGGGGCGGGACCAGGGCCGGACCCCATGCTCCTTGGGGCTGGAGAGGGGGTCACTCCTTCCCCCGGGGCTCCCTTGGCAGCCTGTGGGGAAACGGAGCTGCAGCTGGGAGGGAGGCGGGCTCGGGGCTGGGGACATGGGGAGGCAGGACCATGCCCAGGCCAGCATCTTGCTGAGGGCAGCACTCAGCGTCCTGAGACTGCAAATCCTCTTGGCGATCTTGGGAGTGCCTCGTCCTGGCAGCTCTGCTAGTTAGAAATCGTGCCTCCTTGGGCACAGCATTAGCCTCTCTGCCCTTCGTTCCATCCCCTGGACAGTCGGGGCGGGGAGTGGAGGGTGATAGCAATGCCTGGACTGCCTGAGAATCCGAGGACTGACCAGGGTGACGCGGGCTGTGGGCTGACGTGGAGCCGGCACCCCATCCCGGGGATAGCGGGCTGAGGCAGGATTGCTGGTGGCCGAGGCCCTGCCACGCACGTCCTTCCTCCTGCCTGCCTCCCCGGTCCTCCTGGGCTTTCTCTCCTGACCCGGGCCCTCCTGGACACCAGGGCCGCCTGCACACTGAGCCCAGGCTGCCTTCTGAGCTTGAGCCACTCAAGGAGAACGTGTCCAAAATCTGTAAGCTGGCAGCGAGCAAAGAGCCAAGTGCTCCCTGGGCCGGGCCCAGAGACCAGTGATTGCTGCGTGAAGGCCAGCTGACCCCAGGGACCAGCTCCAGGCAGCACCGTCTCACTCCCCAGGAGTGCCCCTTCTCGGAGGGTCTTTCTCCCTGTGTCTCTGTATCTCTGTCTGCGCCTCTGTTTCCCTCTCTCTGTCTGTCTGTCTGTCTCTATACCTCTGTCTCTCTCTGTCCATCTCTCTCCCCTCGCAGGTGGAAAGCCGACAGTGTCAGCTAAAACACTTTCAGCTGAGTTGCCTTCCCAGCCTTCCCCCACCCAGGTGAGTCCCCTCCGCTTCAGGAGGCCAGGGGCTCAGAGTGCAGATCCCCGAAGGGAGCAGGGCACAGACACACGCACGCCGGAGTCCCCTGCATGCCGCTTCCCTGCCCCCGGGCTGCGTGCGCCTACGCGTGCACCCCCACCCCCACCCCCACACTGACCCCCGCAGCATCCCCCAGGCCCCTGCCCTGGCTGCCTCCACGCACTCCCTTGGTCTGAGGGCGGCTCTCGGCGTCTCTGATTTTACCGCCTTCTCAGAAAGGGAAGGCCACGGCTGGAGACCCTTTCACGAGTGCCCCGCAAAAAGCTGCCCGGGGAGGGGCACAGTGGGCAGAAAGCAAATACGGAAACCGAAGGCGCAGCGCCCCCTGCTGGCAGGGCCGGCGGATGACGGCCAGGACAGGCCTGCGGGCCCGGAGCCTGGTCAGCTTCTCCAGGGCTGAAAGACAGAACTAGTGGCCTGCTGGTCAGACTTCACCTTTAACGTTTTCACTCTCATTGTTGTTATTATTATTACCTGTGTGGTATTAAACAAAAATCTGAATTCACGATCACCATTTAAACGTCTTGAAATTTCGCATTCAAGCTCACCTACCCAGGGCTTCCCAGATGGCTGAGCGGTAAAGAACCCACCTGCAATGCTGGGGGCTCAGGAGGTGCAGGTTCGATCCCCGGGTCAGGAAGATCCCCTGGAGGTGGGCATGGCAACCCCACTCCAGTCTTCTTGCCTGGAGAATCGCACGGACAGAGGAGCCTGGAGGGCCACAGTCCATGGGGTTTTAAAGCGTTGGACACGACTGAAGCAAGTGAGCCCACGTGCGCATCGCTTACCTAGCTCCTCTGTGAAGCCGCAGTGAACGTGCACGTCCCAGGCGGGCAGGACGGACTGGCGCGAGGAGCCCCCACCCCAGGAGGAAGGGCGTGGCGCACCCCCCACCCCGCTCCGGTGTCTCCCCACCCTCGGGCGGCACCTGGCCCTTCTGAACACTGGAGTTTGCAACAGCTGCTTTGAAGCACCCCTGCTGTATCCCGTGGGGGAGATGAGTGCCTGGCGGGGACCGTGAGCACCATCTGAGCTGACCTGGACCCCGAGGCCGCTGACTCTGCGGTTCTGTGTCCCTCGAACCTCGGCTCCAATCCCACACTCCAGGGCCAGAAGCCGCTGGTCTGTCACAGTCGTGTCGTCGCGAAATCCCGGGCCACTTCAGCCTGTGCTCCCCACGCGGTCGTGACTCATCCGCCGCCACTGACGTCCTGAGAGTGTTTACGGATGTCAGACGTAGGCTGGATGCTGTGGTCCCAGGAGGGATGACAAAGTGAACCACACACGACCCTGCTGTTCAGGGGCTGACCGCTGCCGCAGAAAGATCCGAGGATTGGAATTCTGCTGTGACGCCGCCCAGCTTCGG